GTCCCTAACTGCATTTAACAGTTTATTCTTTCCCCATGAGTTTAAAATTCCCCCTATATTCTGCCAAATAAACAGTTATCTGTTTCCAGATTCTGTTCTGTATTCCAGGGTTTGATTTATCAGGTCCTGTGTTAGTATATCAGCACCACAGTGTTTAAATGAGTGCTTGTGTAAAGATCTAAGTGAACATAGATTTTTTTTTAATAATTAAACTTGGAGCTATTTTATCCCATTCAATAAAACTTTCCTAACAATTTAACTTAAAGAAATGACTGTATTGTCGACGATGTCGTGCAGTGGAGTCGAAGCCCTAAACTCTGGTAACACAAAGATTTCAACACTGCAGAAGTCTGCCTTTCAGGCCCCTACTGTTACACAAACTGGAGTCTGAATTCCTATCCCAGAGAGATACTTAATTGTTTAATAATTCTTCTAACCAGAGTGTCTTCATTTGTGGTGAAAGGATTCAAATGGCAAAGTTACCAACACTGCAGTTTACTGTGAAACATGTGCAAGGCTACATAGTGAGCAAGGTGGGCAGGACACTGTCAGCGTTTCACATTGGAGGTGCATTAAACAGTTCTCCCTGCATACAGGAGACCTGTCTTTAAATTTTTAATATAAAATTCCTTCCCAAAGGAATAAAACACCAGTTATGCCCACCTGCTTAAAAGAACGAGAAAAGCAAATGTTATGGTGAAATACTGTTTTTAGATATCCACCACTATTAATCCCAGCACTCGGGAAGCAGAGGCTCTGAGTTCGAGGCCAGCCTGGTCAACAAATCACAGAGAAACCCTGTCTTGAAAAATGAAAAAAAGAAAAGAACATGAGCCTTGCAGTCCCGAGCCACAGCACACAGTGTAGGAAGAATAAAGCCGGAGCCTAGCAGTCTCACTGCAGGGGAGTTTGCAAGGCACAGTGCCAGGAAGGATGGGACCCACCAGGGAGAAACCAGCACATACCTGCAAAGGGACCACCTTGAGCCATTCAATGGATAGTGATTGGCACAATCGTGAGTGGGCCCTCCTGAGGTCAGGAAAGCAGTAGGTGGACAATCCTTATAGAACACCAGGACTGCTTTGTGCTCTCACTAGCCATCGGGTGGAGGGCAGCTCATAACACATCGGGGTGCTGAACATAGAAAAGTTCCACTTTTGTCTTCTGGAAATAATTAGCCCCAGACCACAGGCTGCTCTGGAGCTGTTCTCACTGCATTTGAAAACAAGCCTCAGAAGAATCAGCTGGTCCCAAGTCACCTGTCTGGACCTAAGAAAGCACAGTACTATGGAAAGTACTGTGACAACAGCACACAGCCATCGATGTAATAGTCACAATGTCTACTATCCAATCAGAATTTAGCAGGCTGCAAAGAGAAAAATACAGCATCTAGTGGTAAGAAACAAAACCATAAATGACATGTTAAAGCCAGCAGATAAGGACTTAAAATATCTTAAGTTTTATGTTCCTATAACCAAAAAGGATGGAGAAAAGCATGACACTGATGAAAAGAGAAATAAAAATTAAGTACTTCTATGACATGTCCAGATATGGGAAAATATATTGTGATGAAAGATGTACTGAGTCAGGTACCATCTAAGAAAGATCACTGAGCATGAGCACAGAAGTCAAAATTACTGAAAACAAAGTATAGAGTGGAAAAAACTAGAATAACTGAACAGAGCACTGGTGTCATTGTAGAATAATATAAAGTGGCTAAATTACTGTGCAATTAAAGTCCAAGAAGTAGACAAAGTGGAAGCAGAAAAAGAAAGTAATAGTTAAGTTTTCCCGATGTAAAGGAAGCCATAAGCTCACTGATCCTCTAGGTCTGCATTCATGCAGAAGATGCTAACAGGTGCACCGCAATTCAACACAAAGTCAGAAAATAACAAGAGGTCATACAGAGGACTTCTATCTAAACTGGAGCCACTCAGAATAACTTTGTGCTATCTTAACATATGGAAAGAAAAAAAAATGTCAACTTGGAGTTCTTTGCTCCAAAATGAAGATGTCATTATAATCCCAGTACTCAGGACGCTAAAGCAAAAAATACCATGAGTATAGATCAGCCTGGGCTACATATTGAAGGACCTTGTGTCATCCATTCCTATTCCCCAAGGAAGGCTGGCTAAAATTAATTACCACAAACCGGTATTAAATAGTATTTTTCTCTGCAAATCTGTCTGTCCATCTGTCCATCCATCCAGTCTATTGACAGGGTTTTACAATGTGTCCTGACTGACTAGGAACTCAAAGATAGCAGTCTGCCCTTGCCTCCCTAAAGCTGGTATTAAAGGGGTGTGCCGCCACTCATGGGCAAAATCCTTTTTAAAGTAAGCTAGCACACAAAGCAATGGATTTCCTCATGGTGTCTTTACACATTCTTTGCTTTGTTGTGATTTGGAAACTTAAATCTATAGATGAGAACAAGAAGTGCCAGAAACCATAAATCTGTGAGTGAATAATCTACACAGAAAAAAGAGAGATATTTATTACTGTAAAGGTGAAAATTTGAGAAAAACACATAAAGTAATATTCCAGTTCTAGTTTCTGATTTTAAAGTATATACCACAGTGATATAACATGTTAACATTGGGGGAAATTCAGTAAAAAGCATATGAAATTTCTGTACTTTTGTTTTTTGAGACAGGGTTTCTCAGTAGCTATGCAGCCGGTCCTGGAACTCACTCTGTAGACCACGCTGGTCTTGAATTCGGAGAGATTCCCCTGCCTCTGCCTCCCAAGTGCTAGGACTAAAGGCGTGTGCCGATACCACCACCTGGCTTTTTGTTTTATTTTGTTTTTACTTTTATATAAACTGAAACACATACTAAAATTTAAAAATAGTTTAAATAAGTGGTGTTTAAAGGCATAAGAAAAATGTGTTATGGTTTATAGTACTTGTAAAACTAAAATGGCATAAAATATGTGAAAAAATTAAATTGTATTGTTTTTATGCCATTTGTGAAGTAGTGTAATATTCTTTTAGGGTAAATTGTGTTGTAAACTCTAGAGCAATCACTGAAAACAAAAATGGAACCACTAGGGGCTGGAGAGGTGGCTCAACAGTTAAGAGCACTGGCTGCTCTTCCAGGGGGGTGTTGGTTCAATTCCCAGTCCTGACGTGGTGGTTTATAACATCTGTAACTCCAGTTACAGGGAACTGAATGCCCTCTTATGGCCTTCAAGGATACCGCAAACAATCGTACACATAAAATAAAAAATAAAGGGAAAAAATTAGAGATGGAAATACTAGGAAAACATTTTTTCTTCATAATATTTTTATTGTCTTTGTGAATTTCACATCACGTGCTCCAAATCCCACTCATTCTCAGTCCTATATCTGCCTTCCACCCTTGTAACCTCCCCACAAGAGAAAATAAAAGTTAAATTAAAACAGCTGTGGAAGCTGCAGCGTGTCACACAGTATATCCTTTAGTCCAAACAGCTTTACTTACAAATGTTCATTGCAGTGAGTCACTGGTCTGGTTCAAAGCCTCTGGCTTCTGCTACACCATTGATACTGGACCCTCACCAAGACTCCTCAGTTATCCTGCTGCTGCCAAATCATGGGGGTCCTGCAGCTTTGTTTCTACAGGACCTGCCCTAGACAGGCTTTAGCAGCTCATAAGGAGGGCAGATTTTGGGGTGGGCCAGCTCAAAACCCTGGGTGTGAGCTTGGGTGGTAGCTGAGATGGTCAGCCAGCCAGCTCTCCTGTACCAGTGCAGCCAAGGCCAGCTCTCCCCTGTTCACAGCATCAGGGCCAGCTCCCCCCCCCCACACAGTCCTAGAGAGGGACGGGGCCAACTCAGAGTGGCAATTGGACATCACCTTGGCCTCAGGTGGCAGCACAGGCCTCCCATATCAGGCTGTTCCTCACTGCCTTCACACCTCCAGTTCTGCCTCTCTTCATAGTGCACAAACCATTCTACTTCTCTCTCCCATCTGTCCAATCACATACTTGCTCATTGTAATGACAGAGCCTGTGACCTCTCTAGAGAAAATTTTTCATAGATGGGGCAATCGGAAAAAATAGCAGTCTGTCACTCTTAAACCTGATTATAAATAACCATAACTACATTAAATATAAATGGAATAACCATTCAATTAAAAAAAATCAAGGATCATGAGACTGGAAAAAAACACCAAAAAGTGAGCTAGATGTGTATGCGTTTATTAGTAACTGTGTTCTATTGGTGTGAAGAGGCCATGACCTTTTATAAAAGAAACATTTAATTGGGGGCATGCTTATAAGCTCAGAGGCTTAGTCCATTATCATCATGGCAGGGAACATGGCAGCTGAGAGTTACATCCTGATCCACAAGCAGAATGAGCTTGGGCCTGGCATGGGCTTTTAAAACCTTAAAGCCCACTCCTCAGTGATATAGTTCCTCCAACAAGGCCATACCTACTAATCCTTCTAAACCTCTCAAACAGTTCTACACCCTGGTGAGCAAGCATTCAAATATATGACCCTATGGGAGTTGTTCTCATTCAAGCCACACACACACACACACACACACACTGTATATATAAATAAATGGAATATGTATGTGTTTCATTTATGTGCTTTGATATGGATGAATTCCCAAAGTGATAAGTACAGAATGTCTAATAATATTTACATGAAATTTCAGAAAAAGCAAGCAAGTCTGTGGCTGCCACAGCCAGGAGTTTAAGAAGACAATCAACTGAAAAGATATCAGTGTTGGAGATGATCTATATTATAATTACCTGACTGTTACAGACTATACATTTGCTAGAGCTTATGTTATACACTGAGAACATGTGAATTTTATTTTATGGAAATGTTGTCACACAAATAATTGTATACATGAGAGAATAGTGAAAATGTAAGAATGAATAAGACTACAATAAACTGAAAAAACTCAAAACTAAAAAACAAAATAAATAAAATTTAAAATGTTAGAAATTCATATGATGTTTAATTAAGCTTTACTTATCCACTACATTTTTTTAATGTTTAAATTATTAGGTTGAACTAAAACGACAATACAATGACCACCACTCAAAATTGAGAGGCCTTTTGCCTGGCCGTCAATGGTATGAAATTCAAGCATACAGAGCCTTAAATCAGGCTCTAGGCAGGTGAGTAAAGTAAAATCGGTTACAGTGTTACTGTGTGTAGTTTTGCCTGTGCCCCAGAAGAAAAAGTAATGTTTGCTACTTTTAAAAATCAATGTGGAAAGCCAGACAGTAGTGGTGTATGCCTTTAATCCCAGCATTCAGGAGGAAAGAAAACAGTTGGATCTCTGTGAGTTCAAGGCCAGTCTTCTCTACATAGTGAGTTCCAGCCAGAGCTACACAGAGAAATCCTATCTTGGGAAGAAAAAACAATGTATTAAAATTTTATTTGGTTTGAACTCTAGGATAGTATGTTTTTCATAAATTTTGGAAGTGGGTGTTGAGAACTGTGGCAAGCACTTCTCCAATTGAGCCATCATTATTCCCAGCCTGTGGGATGAGTTTTTAAACTAGCATCTCAGAAAGTAATTTAATTGTTTTTTTAATTTAAACATTTTTGTTGTTCTTTTCAAACCAATTGATTTGTTAAGCTGCTGTTGTCTTGCTGCCTTTCCTGTCCAGCATTCCATTCCCCTTAGCACCCAATGGCACGTTTTTCTTGGCCATTTCATTTTCTCTTCCTGATGACTGCCTGTTTCTGTTTGAAGTATAATATTCAGCTTATAGTTCCTATGAAAGCTTGAATATATATATTTTAAATTCTTGGCTTTTACTTGTTATACTTATTTTTATAAAATTAAGTAATCTTCTGTTGGTGTTTTTATGTTAATATAACACCTTGAACTTCAAGAAAATTTGTGAAATATGAATTCCACTTGCATTCTTTATTATTTATAAACTGTCGGAAGCTGTCTTTGCGGGGCTGCAGTGGGAACCAGCTGCGTGGCCCCCAAGTTTGTACCTGAGTGGGAGAGTGTGGATGAGAGAAAGAAATCTGTACCTGAGTGGGGGTGTGTGGATGAGGGAAAGGCTAGCTGTAGACAATAAAGAAAAGACAGAGACACAGAATAAAAGTCAGGAGGGCTGATCGGTCAATACTGAAATGCTACAAGTTTATTTTTCATCACTGTTATATACCTTGTCCAAAAAGGGGAACACAGTATCATGTACATGGAACAAACAGACTTTTCTTCTCACTTATTCTAAGGGTTCAGTAACCACACCTTAGTTTCAACTTCTTGTTCCCTAGCCTTGAGGTTCAGGAGTAGCCAGCCACACCTCAGATTCAGGTCTGTTCTTATTTAGAATAAGACAGCCAAACATCCTAGTATAGCCCCACCTTTGACCTTTAAGTCTTATGACTTGCTGAGGACAGTTTTTAACTCCCTGTCCCTGTACCAAGATGGAGTGCAGCCATCATTATGAGCACTGACAGTAAACTCCACATATCACTGTGTTTGATTCTTCAGTTGAATAATACCTAATAGCAATGCAAGTTGGAACCTCGTATTTTAATTTTCTTATTTGTTTTCAAACTGGTTAATCTGAAACTAAATTACCTGGATGAGATCAGATATCTATCAAATGGCCCTCCACATTGGAACCCCGCCTATACTTTTAAAACCACAGACTTGCTTTTTCATCTACCTCTATCCACTAATATTTTCACCATGAAACCTACCATACTCTGGTATGCCCTTTCTGCCTTGGTAATAAGCTTCCATGCTATTCATAGGACACAGTAACAGTTACAACCTGGTTGAAGTCACAGCCTATATGGATCCCTTCTGTTTCTTCACCTAGAGCTATTTATACCCTAGTAAACCCAGATTATGTACATGATCTCTGTTATAGCATATATTTTGTCAACTTGTTTATGTGTGTGTGTGTCCCTTCCCAACATGTATATACCCTTGTATTCTCAGTAACAGCCTGTGTCTCAGTTTGACATGGTTGCTTCAGAATTGCTTGGCAAATGGTGGAAAACGTGAAGCTTGCTGCTTTGCCACGTTCTGCATTGCTAACCAAGTTCTAGAGCTTTAGAATGTGTTTTTCCAAAGTATCACAAAAGCCATGCACTTGAAATATCAACACACAATACTGTACCTTTGGCATTTTATTAATTGTATTATCATTTATTGATTTCTCAGGGACACTATCAGCGAATGGCAATTTGTCACAAAGAACATACTTTTAATAATTGTGATTTTAATGGAAAAATAACAAAATGAATGTTTTGTATCATGAGTGCTAATTGATGTAAAGATGCTTATACTTTGAAGCACTCTTATGAGAGACACATGCAGAAAACTGAAGTAGACAGAAACCAATCAATTGCTTTAATGTCTTGCATGCACATCACGCACATAGGGGAGGTCATGCCATGCGGAGGTCAAGGTCGGCAGCAGGTGTCTTCCTCTGTCGCTCCCACTGTCTCTTAGAGGTTCCTCTCACTGAATGTGGAGCTTACAGTTAGCAAGACAGACTCGAGGGTCTTCCTGGCCCTGCCCCTCAGCACTGCGGTTGCAGGAGGGTGCTGCCACCCTGGCCTTTTATGTAGGTTCTGGGGATCCGAACTCAGGTCCTCATGCTTGCCGCATAAGCACTGTACCACCTGAGTTATCTCCCCAACTCCTCATTGCATCTCTTTTTAAAGGCCACATGCCATCATAGTTACCTGGAGTAGTAAAGTGTGTGGAATATACTAGCAGTCTTCGGAAATACACCAGATGGGTTTAGAGCTAAGTCACAACTAAGAGTTTCTCTCCGTCTGCTTCACTTCAAGTACAGTATCATTTCTCAAGCGATCGTGATTCATTTGAGCAAGGCAGTGAAAACAATGGAAAAGATGAACCCTTCCTCTCTTTAGCGTTTTATTACTTTAAATACCTCTCCACCAAAATCCACTTTAAACACAAAATGAACCCAAAACAGATTGCCCTCACTTCCTGTTGACTTTCAACACCCTTCTAGAATAAAGACAGTATATAACTTCTTCCTGTTCTGCCTTATGCTATATGATCTATTGTCCTGGAACCTGTAGCTTACTTTAAAATAATGTCAAAGAAGAGTGTCATATGAAATTTAAAAATTTAAACTGTAAAAGTTGAACATTTATTATCTCCATTCCCTCAAAATCCCATCTCAGTGAAGGAGTAAAAACGCCAAACTCCAGAGTGAGAAGAGAAAAAAAGGCAGGCAGAGATGTCATCACGTTTTTAATACTGAAAATCAGTTGAGGGACTAAATGACTTAACAGACTGAATTGATTACAGTAACACAGAGCGGATACACCATTTTCTTAACTATCCCTTTGGAAATCTGGCTTTATTTTCAGTGTTTTATACACATTTTATCTTCCCCCTTTTTTAGGTGTATTCGACACAAAAATGATTGGGGAGCTCTTATTCTGGTGGACGATCGTTTCAACAGCAACCCAAACCGCTATATATCAGGTAAGATTCTCAGTACAGAGTAAGAATTACTAATAGGCTTTGTTTTTCCTTAGTGGTTAAAAAAAAAAAAAAAGCCACATGCAATCTTCCCGTTTGTGTGATATAATTGTGTGTAATGTAGTACTAATTATAATGAATATTGTGTATTAGGTCTGTAGAACTTGTAATCTTTTTGTTTGTTTGTTTGTTTGTTTTTTGAGATAGGGTTTCGTTGTGTAACAGCCTTGACTGTTCTGGAATTCACTTTGTAGACCAGGCTGGCCTCAAACTCACTGAGACTTGCCTGCCTCTGCCTCTGCCTCTGCCTCTGCCTCTGCCTCTGCCTCTGCCTCTGCCTCTGCCTCTGCCTCTGCCTCCTGTGTGCTGCGATGAAAGGCGTGCTCCCAGCAGAATTTGTAATCTTAGTACCTGAAACTTTATATGATTGACCATCTTTCTGCTCTCCCCATAGAGTGGCACCCACTATTTCTCCTTTGAGTCCAGTGACTTCTAGGAGGCATGTAAAGTTGAGTCATGCAGTGTCTGTCCTTCTGGGTCTGTTCTGTTTCACTTAGTACATTATCCTTAAGTTTCATCCATGTTGAAGTGTCCATCAAGCAGGCCTTGCTTATTTTCTATGACTGAATAATACAGTTCGTGCAGGGCATATTTCTCTGTTCACCTCTAATGTGGGCATTTAGATTGTTCCTACTTGTTGGAAACTACAGTGAGCATGGACACTTTATCATATTTAAGAATGAAGTCACTGGATCATATCTAAATTCTAGGCCAGCAGATATTTATGAAGAACAATATTTTGAAGATAGCTCCTTATTTTATTTTTTTTCTTCTATGATTTCTACACAAACCTGGAGCACACTGCACAGCCTGCAGGCAGCTCAAGAGACTGGAGAGTGTCTTTTCCAGGTGCCTCAGTTGGTCTTCGGCCCTTCTCAGCACATTGGCCGGACTCCGCCTCCTCCAGGCAGCTCGGCTGCTCTGAGTACTTTATAGCAGTCCTTGCTGCTTACATATACCTAAGGAAGGAGGAGGCTGGTGTATCTGGTCAGTTTCAGGAATTTGCAGAAGCCCTTTGAGTTGCTCGCTTCTGGAGTGGATGGAATGCTTTACCTCCCTTTGGAACAGTGCTTCTCAACTGTAGTTGGACTTTCTTTGGACCACTAGCTCCCAAATAGTGACAAAGAAATATCTCATTAATTATGAAAGCTTGGCCTTAGCTTAGACTTGTTCCCAAGTAGCTCTTAAAACTTAAATTAACCCATTTATATTAATCTACATGCCGTCATGTGACACATTGCCTCTCCTCAGAACAGCACGTCTGACTTCCCCAGCCTCTTGCTGGCAAATCTGCTTCTCAGAGTCCAGAAATCCTGCCTAGCCTCTCCTGCCTAGTTATTGGCCATTCAGCTCTTTATTAAACCAGAAGGTGCCTTAGGCAGTTGAGGAAGGATAAACACATCTTCACACAGTGTGATAAAATATCCCCCAACAGTCAACCTTCCTAATGTTGAATACAAGTTTCTCATATTATGGGGACCTCCAACCATAAAATTATTTTCATTGTTACTTCATAACTGTAATTTTGCTACTGTTGGAATCATAATGTAAATATCTTTGTTTTCCATTGATCTTAGGTAACCCTGTAAAAGGGTTGTTGGACCCCCACAAAGGGGTCATGACTGCAGGTTGAGAACCACTGCTTTAAAACATACTGCATCTTAATGAGCTTCCATCCAAGATGGAAGGTTTTATCTCTGAGGAAATTGCTGCACAGCACTTGCCACTTTATTAAACATTTATGTGCGCGCGCACGTGTGTGTGTATGTGTGTGTGTGTGTGTGTGTGTGTGTGTGTGTGTGTGTGTGTACACGTGCGCGGGTGCATGTGTGTACAATGTGTGTGAGTGACGCATTCATATGTGAATGTGAGCACACACATGACAAAGGTGCACGTGGTAGAGGTTAGAGTACACCCTTGGATATCTGTCCTCATCCTCTACCTTGTTTGAAACAAGATCTCTGTTGTTATCCCACTGTGTATGCCAGGTTACAGACCAAAGGCTTCAAGGTATTCTCCTATCTCTGCCTCCCATTATCCCCATAGGAGCACTGGGGTTACTCATCTGGCTTTCTCAGGAGTTCAAACTCTGTTTCTCACTGGTACATGGTAGGTGCTTTACCCAATAAGCCATCTCCCCAGCCCAAACATTTACTTTTCAGTCACCAGTGTTTGTGCTAACGTCACAAATTGCCCTTTTAAAATTATGTATCTTCCTACATAGTTTATACTAATTATTATTTTGTATACTTTTAGATTCTGTGCCAAAATTAAAAGTGGTTTATGATGCTTGGATATATAGCCCATTGGTCGAGTACTTCCCTGCTTACATAGGTCCTGGGTTCAATTCTCAGCCCTGGAAAAGGGAAGGGGTGTCATTACTGTTCTTAAATATTTGGTAACTGTCTGTACAATTACTTTATTGGCAAGCTGCACTTTATTGTCTACTATGTACCACTTCCTATAAAGCAGATCTAGCGGTCATGAACGCCCTCAGCCTTTGTAATCTGAGAAAGCCTATCTCTCTTGCATTTTGATAGACAGTTTTGCCAGATATAGCATTCCTAGTTAGTAGTTTGGGGCTTTTCTTTTCAGCACTTTGAATATATCATCTCATTCCTTTGAAGCCTGTAAGAGTGCTCCTCAGAAATCCATTGACAGTCTTTGGACGTTTACTTGCATATGATGAATTGCTTTTCTCTTGCTGCTTTTAAATTTTCTTTTGCTTTGTGCTTAGACAATTTGACTATACCTATTTTTTGTTTTATTTTAATTTATTGCTTTTTTTTTTTTTTTTAAGAGAGAGCATTCTCTACTGTGGCTTTCCAGATACTGGGATTACAAGCATGAAACCATTTTGCATCTCTAAACTGTTTTGTTTTGTTTTGTTTTTTGTTGTTTTGAAACAGTCTTAACTCTACAGCTCTGACTGGCCTAGAACTGCCTTGGGCTGGCCTCAAATTCACAGAGATCCACTCATTTTTTGCTCCTCTAACCATGTAATTACAGATCATCTTAGACTTGGCTAAAGTTTTCTTCTGCCTGATCAGATCTGCGGTCAGGCCCCTCTAGTGAGTGAATGTTTCAGCTCCAGAATTTGGACCTCTTTTTGTCTTTTCATTCTTTATCTCTTTGATGATTAATTCTCATACTGTTTCTCTTATCCCCCCTCCCCTCTCTCCTGCTCTCATCCTTTTCGAAGTTCCTATGATGGGGCTATGTCTTATGTGTCTTTGTAATGTTGTATTGGCCTCTACACACATTTGATAAAAGCCACCTCTAAGAGTTCTTACTACAGCAACTTCACACAGAAGCTGGTAGCCTGTCTGATCTTCTGTATGGCCCAAGTTTCTCTGCATCCCTATGTGGATACCTAGTTAGAGAGCCTTGCAGTTTTTTCTTTGCCCCCTTTTCTCCCTAGATATCAGAACCCATTGTATACTTGTCTGTCTCTTGAGTTGTGAGTCCTCTTAAGCAACAGCATGCTCCCCATCCAGCTCTTTTGCTCTCAGCAGTCTCTAGGCATGGATAATATGCCATATGATGTGAGTGCTCCCTAATGACTAAGACAGTCCTGTCCTAGGCGCTTCACTAAAGCTGGCATGCATTACACACTAGTCTTCTCTTTGCTGAAACTGCTGAGCTGGATGGAGCAGCCTCAGTGTCCTGTACTGTAGCTCTGCAGTAGCAGCCAGCACTTACCACAGAGAAGACAGAGCAAATGCTTCAGGACTTTGTGCCCACTCTCCAGTCTCTTTTCCAGAGACTTCTCTCCTGGTCTTGTGGCACTATCCCGAGACAGGAACTCTGGTGAGAAGGTTCCACACATTTTCCTGCCTGCTTTGATACAATTGGTTTTGCTCTAGCCTAGGTACCAGAACTTTTTAACTTGTCTCTGGATTTCTCATAAAGGGGTTTGGCCCATGAATTATTGGATCCATGTTTCTATAGGAGAAACATGGGATCTGGGGTTTCCTGTTCTGCCATCATAAACTTTTTGTATTTTATGACGTGTGTGTGTGTGTGTGTGTGTGTGTGTGTGTGTGTGTGTGTGTACACATGGGGGATACAAATACATGTGTGTACATATGCATGAATGTCAACCTCAGGTATGGTTCCTCAAGAGCCATCAGCTTGTTTTCTGTGGGGTGCACTGCTTAGGCTAGGCTGGCGGACCACAAGTCCCAGGGATCTGCCTGTTTGACCCTCTCAGCACTGGGATTACAAGTGTGTACCACTACTCCCAGCTTTTTTATGTGAGTTCTGAGGACCAAATTCAAGTCTCCGTATTTGTCAAGAAGTGCTGTATTGACTAAGCCATCTCTTCAGACCTCTGTAGCTTCATTTTTAAAAATGAAGAATTAAAATGCAAATTTGAATCATGAAATCAAACATGAACAATTCCCACTAACTGGAAAGCTAGTCTTTGAGTTCTCATTTGTTTATGAAAATTCTTTATGAGTGAGAAATTTTTTAATCATCAACTATTAAATCAGTTATTTTCAGTTTTATAGAATTGGTTCATAATTTAATATTGTAGCAATATTTTGTTTACCATTGCCAAAGGTTTCTTCTCAAAAATTAATTTTTCAAAAAATACTGGGTTTTTTTTCACTTATATAAGTACATCTCTTTTGGCTCCTTGACTGATTTTCAGGGTTTGTTATTATATCTGTTTGCTTGTTTCTTTAAATATATTATGTTTCCATTCTTCTGAGTTTTATTTAAAGGGCTAGGGAGATGGCTCAGTTGGTAAGTGCTTGTCATGCAAACGTTAGGATCAGAGTTCACATTTCCAGCACCCACATAAAAGCCAGGCACAGGGAGCACTTTTAGAAGCGAGGTAGGCAGATTGCTGAGCTTACTGGAGTTTGCTGGCCAGGTAGCTTATAGTTCAGGGAGAGAGCCTGTCTCAAAAAATAGAGAATAATGAAGGACGATGCCTAACTTCAATCTCCAGCGTTCATACATAGGCATATATGTAGGTGTGCACATACATATACAATATAAACAAATAAAGTTCATGTTAGTTAAAGCAAATATTTTCCAAAAGGAAATAAAGGGCCAGTGGGCAGAAAGATAAGTAGATGGTCATTTAACAGGCATTACAGGACTATAGTTTCATTCAACAGTGACAGTCTACTCAGTCAATTCTAGAAATGTGCGTCAATTCTAGAAATGTGCGTGCTGTCAAGGTTTAAAACAGAGTATATTGCTCTGAGGTTTTTTCCTTTTTTTTTTTTTTTTTTTTTTTTTTGTTGTTGTTGTCTAAACAAAGCAGCACCTCTGATCAAGCAGTAACTAAAAGCAAAAATAATAAGTACTAGTGTTTAGTCAGCAGATGGAGCTCAGACCCTGCCAAGTGTTCATAGTTCATATACATGCAAATATATATATATATAGATATATATAAAGATTGAAAACCATTCCATATGTTCAAATGCAAACTAGATTGTTTCACTAGAAACAGTAAAGTGCATCTTAATGCATAAATATTTGGTAACTAAGTAACCGGTTTCTCGCTTGGATCCACTGTATTTTAGGACTTTCTAAATGGGTGAGGCAGCAGATTCAGCACCACTCAACCTTTGCAAGTGCCCTGGAGTCCCTGACTGAGTTTTCTAAAAGACACCAGAAAGTTACTAATAGATCCAAAAAGGACAAGGAGTCTACTCTGGAAATGGCCTGTTTGGAGGATAGCACTCTTACAGATGTGTCAAAAGCAAGTCATCTACCACCAGGAAACTCTAAGGAAGACGACGCAAAACTGTGTGTTCAGCAGCTGCAGTGTCCCCAAGTGGCTGCAAAAAACCCGTCGGTACGGAGTCACAGCATCTCCAAAAGAAAAAAAAGTATGTTGAATTCTGCCCATTTACAGTCTCATTACATAATAGGGGAATGATAGTGATTTGGATACAGGTTAATTTCCTGGTATATGTTGGTTTATAACATGACGTGTTCCTAAGATAATACAGCATGTTTGAATGGGGACAAGCTTTTGCTTGGATACCAAAGTGTATTTTCTGGTTTCCCATTAGCTTTGCCACTTACCTAACATTGTAATTGTGAATGAACTACTTGACCTTTTTAAGTTATAACAGAAAAAGTGAATAACTTGCCTACCTATCCCACTAAGGTGTGTTGTAAAACTCAAATAATAAATATAGCATTGTAAAGTACTGTAGAAATGGTAGACATTATTTTAAAGGCTTTATAAAAACAATGAGCTAAATTGGGTATCGTGGCACATAACATGTAACCCCATAATCCCAGCATGCTGGAAGCAGAGGTAAGAGAATCAGGAATTCCAAGCCAGGACTGGTGAGATGGCTCAGCAGGTAAAGGTACTTGCTGTCACATGTGACGACCTACATTTGATCCCTAGAATCTGGAAAGAATGAACCTACTCTTGCAAGCTGTTCTATGAGCTCCATATGCATGCTTGGTATGCCTGTCCCCCACCACCATACACACAATAAATAAAGTATCAAAGTTAGACAGAAATAGGAGTAAAAGTAACACAGAATTTTTAAATTAAAAAAAAAGAAAGAAAAAAACTCAAGGCCAGTCAGCCTTAGCTGTAGCAAGCCTCTGTAATTGGAAGGTTCCACTTAAGACCGCTCCTTATTTGAACCTGAGATGTGAGTCATTTATTAAATGATAAATAATAATAATAATAATGTTTTTAACATGGACTCTATCAGGGATTGAACCCTGGCCATCCTGTTGGCTTGTTTTATGTTTGAAGTTTAATGCAACTAGGACATACTCATTTGTTTACATAATCCAAAAACAACTAAGTTGAGTAACTGTATTTTCATCCTAGAATAGCCTACTTGAATAGTTGAAGCAGTCATAATATGAACCACAAAACTTAAAATATTTGCCATCTGGCCTGTAACAAGAAAAAATAAATAAAAAGAAAGAAAGAAAAACAGATTCTGGTGATTGGGTATAATGATCAATGTAGCTTAATATACCAGTTTTCAAGTGTTTTGAGCTTTGTGCTTTAAATAAATGTCAGGATGACTTCAGGGCTGTTACAGCGGCAACCCGGAACCCCAGGATCCAGTTCTGGTCTTGTGTGCTGACCAGTTTTATAATTTGAGAAATAGCTTACATAGCCTTGCAGCCACCAGCGTCCTTGCTTTTTAAATAAGAGGGCCAGTCTTTTCCCTGGTTTCTAACTAGTGGATTTTTGAAGCAACTTTCTCCTTTTTCTTTCCCTCTCCAGTGCTGGAGTCTTGCACATGCTGGGCCAGTGCTCTGCGCTGCTCCCCAGACAGTGGCCTGTTCTCTCTCTGCTTGATCACTTCTTCCTCTTTACCCACCCTCTTGTGCAGCGTTGTGTCTCCGTGATGTTCATAGGATCGCTTTCACACAGCATTATAACTCAGGCTGGAAAGTACTGGAGAGCCACTGCTTCCTTAGAGTCTGCACGCTCTCCCTTAAATTCTAAGATGAAAGTTCAGTGTTGCTGGTGGTAGGTGCTGACTGTGTATTTTATACTGCTGTTAAAGTATTTCTAATTTAAAAGCAAACCATTTTACCATAACAGGTGTTGTTACCATGGAGTACAGTATCAACACTAATTTAAGTTTTTGTTTTCTTAGGTGATCCAGTACTAAGAGAAGAGTCTGTTCAAACAATGAAAACAGAGAAAAATGTCATTTCCAGATCCTCAAGCCCAACTTTTGGGAAGCAAACAGAGCCAGTCAACTGGCCTATCTTCAAGTCCCTGAGACAGCACTTCACTAGGAAAGAAAAGAATCAGACACCTGTGCTTGGGTCGTCAGAGAACAACTCCTCTGGCTCTTCTGCCTTCAAAACAGAAAAAACAGAAGCTAACGCTCCTTCGTCACTCACAGGTAAATGTGTGTCCTCAAATGAAACAGCAAATGCACCATTCACACCTTGCCCTCAGTCAAAAATCTCAAATTCTTCGACGAAGGTTGACGTTACTCCTGCTAAGAACCATTCCAAACAGTTGTTCTGCTCTGAGAAAGACCTGCACCCGGGTAGTGAGTTGTCTCCAGTAAGTGAGGAGGCCAGGCGTTCCAGTTCAAATGCAGCTATTGACACAGAAGCAGACGACTCCCCATGTCTCACACCTGAACTCTTTGATCCTGTTGATACTGATGAAGAAAACAACGAACCAGCTGAAACCAATAGATCCAGTAATAATTCAGACTGTTTCTCATCTGAAGACCTCTTTGAAAATGTACTAGATTCGGCCAGAAATGAAAGTTGAAGGTTTCACAGACACAAAGTTGAACAGAGTCATGCCGGTGGAAGAGAACAAAGCTGACGACTTGTATAAGCGAATTAGAGCTGTGGAAACTCATGCATAGACATGAGGACCTATGAGCAGTAGTGGGAGGGGGTCCCTGATGTTAGGTAAAGCTATCAGGATTTTGTTAAGCCTCTATACATTGGTAAATATTGTTTAATTTCTAAGATATATTTTCATTTTTAACTCATTGTCTCTGATTTGTCTATTTTTATGTTCAGAAATGCAAGTTTTATTCTAGAGTTTTAATTAAGTAATCCATACAAAGTACTTTCCTCCAATATTTATTTTCCTAGGGCACTTCCAGTTTCATACAACTACTCATATTTTAAGGTTCACTTAATGTGACTTCATACTCATATACAAAGATTAATCTCAGTTGAATCTACCCACACTGCAGCCATATTATACTTGTATATTTTAATTCAAATTTATAGATGTTTTTAGAAATCATAGTTTATCTCTAAAAGCCTGATGTTTCTTTAAACTGCCTTAGATTGGGCATAGTGCACACAGCTGCTTTCCTGGCATGTGGGAGACTCAGGCTTTGGGTTTCAAAGTCAAAAGAAAAAAAATTGTTTAGAAATAGTTTATTACAAAGAAAAAGGAAAGAGTACTCATATTTCTTTGAAATTGGGAGGTTTTTTTATTTTCTAAAACTAAAATACCAAAACCAAATTACATGCAGTTATAGAATGCCATTTGAAATATTCAAAATTTCAATTCTAATTTTTTACCTTCACTGTCATCATAGAAAGTGATGTGCCTCAACCTCTGGCCTCTACACACATATACACAGATCACAACATGTACATGTGTACACACACTCATGTACACATACACATGAACACACATACAGAAATAATACACGGGTCCTGGCCGTGACAAAAATGTGATACATTCCGGTATAAAGTTTTAATTCTGTAACTATTAAGATGGAAAATGTGGTATGTAAATTTAATAAATAAGCAGGTGTTACATATCCATATACACATAAAATAGTCTCTGAACTATGTTCCCTAAAGAACAGAAATCTACTGGGAATTTTAAGTGTGTGCAAGTTTTAGAGAGTGAAACTATATATCTAATAAGAAATGTTTATAAAAGATGGTCACCTATGGCATTCCAAAATTATATCACTGAGTGGATGTTTAGACTTTTTGTGGTGATTTCAATTGAGAGAGTGTAGTGTGTGTATGGGTAGCTGGAGATCAAGCCTAGGGCCTCGCATGCTAATCCGGTGTTCTAGCATTGAGCTGTGTCCAGTCTGAACTGAAATTTTATAAGCTGTTCAACTACTCTTCATGGTTTATTATCAAGTCAAATTCCCAATCTTTATATTTTTATGTTCTTTTAAGTAAGTGAATTATCATGTATGTATGTATTTGCTTTCATTTTGATAGCATTTAGGTTTGGTACATGAAATTTGAATTGACAGCTTACCAAGTAAGGAATTTATCTGTGCATTTAGACCGTGATTTCTACATTGTTTTGAAAGAAGTCATTTCTCCTGTTGTGGATCTTAAATCATAGATAGGGGTAGTAGTTGAGTCCTAGAAAGAATGCGTGGTAGAAGATGGAAACATGGCCTCCATTCCTGGCTAGGCCTCAGACTTGACATCATGCCCTCCATGGAATTAGTCTCATTTATAAAATACGGACTTTAATACTATAAAGGCTTGCAAATCCCTTTAAGCAATTTAAAAGAATATCTGTTGGTATTTTACTCTGCGTCAGTTTTTGTTCCAAAATACTTAAAATGAAGCATACAATTGTATAGAAAAGGTGAGGTGACCTACTTATCTACACTCTGGGAACATAGATACATGTATAGTATCTTAGAGTCAGTTTCTGGGAACATATATATGTGTATAATGACTTAGGAAGCGAGGTATTTATTTCAACTGATACCGTTTAAACATCTTTGATATTTTTGGAGCCCTTCTTTTTCTGTTTTTGTTGTTGTTTGGTTTTTTATTTTTGAGACAGGATTTCATGTGTTCCATTTCAGCCTTGAACTCTCAGACCTCCTGTCTCCATCTCCCAAGCTCTGTGTTTTCAGTGTACTGTATCACACTCAGTTAAACTACATGAAAAACATCAAACAAATCATTTTATAGTTAGGTGCCCAACTTAATCACAAATACCATCCCTTTCCCTACATGATTTTTTTCAAAAATCTTATAATCTCTGTACATTACTAAGTAGTTTTCAGAGATGTTCCACAAGTTCTCAGCATTTCAAAAAGATGTTTAAAATTTTTATACAAGGATAACATTGTAATAGATCAGAGGGTCTCCTCAGATCATCATTCTGAACAAGATGATCATCCCAAAAGTAAGCTCTTGGCCTTTTGGGAGTAGGAAATAGACCATTTTGAAACAGAAAGTCATGTAAAAGAGAGACAGATAGCAAGTGACAGTCATTAGTAAGGTCACTGTGCCTCTGCAGTACCCCCTGGCTTCTGTGCTGTCTTTCCTGACTATGAACAAATCAACTGGCAGCAATAACTGGTAAAGACTCCAAGAAAAAATTCTTTGGCTGGTTTGTTTTTCAGACTTTTTAAAATATGTAGTAGAAATTATCAAGCAATTTGTCTTAAATGTTTAGTATACTTGAAGTAATTATTTAACATTGGATTTGTTCAAGGGTTAAAGATAAATACAGCGTATAGGCCATGCACCATGAACTCATCTAGTTGGAGAATGGCCATTGTTCATGAAAGAGAGGTACATGGTAGGGAGTAGATTCTATTCATGACTCAATCACTGAATTTTAGACGAACCACTTAAAGCTTTCTCAAATTGTGGAGGAAATTAATGAGAACTCTTAACTATTTTCCTACTGTGCATTTTATTATTAATATGGTTTTGAAATTGGGTACTGTTTCTGAGTTTCCATAAAGCTTTATTTCTCTTGTGATCTTTCTATTCAATACATTATTTAAAAGGAGTCATATCTACATTTTTCTAAAATAGGACTTTGCCATGTTTTCTACTTAACAATAAAATGCACTCTTCTTTTAGAAGAGCTTATAAATGTTTCTGTGCAGTTTACCTGTTGTGACATCACTTAAAGGACTGTCTGTTGTAGCCATTGGGAGCTAATGGTATTATTTTTATACTGGAATCCCACACAATTCCCTCACCTCTCTTTGCTTTCTCAGTGAGCTACACAGAAATTTGATTTTTTTTTTTATTAATTTTTGGTAACCTTGTCTATCTGCATAGGTAAAGGCAGTGATCTTTTTTGTAAAGAAATATTTTTAATGAAATATATTGTAATGTTTAAAAATGTAAGGCTATATCAGATAATGCATGTATAAGGAAGCTAAAGCCTTCTTGTGAAATACCCATCCTATAAAACAATAAAGAATATCACAGGGAAGGGGCATTTGGAACAGAAATGACCAGTGCTATAATCACTAGGCGTAAGTGATTTTCATGGGGTTTTGTTTTGTTTCTTATAAGAGTTGTTTAGTAAGTTTCTGATGGGACCATTAGTGGCCTGGCTTCCTATGTCTCACTTGCATATAATGGCCATGGGATCTGAGGCATTGGGCCACCTTATTGGAAAGGCCACCTTTTACCTCAGTGCTCTTGGCCCAGATCTAAAATAACCCATCTTATACCAAATTCTACTCTAATAAACAAGCTTCATTGCACTAAAAGGGAAAATTACAGTAAATTGTTTGTTCCAGAAATGAATCTTTGAAAATCTAATAGTAAATACTAAGAGACTATTTTAATAATTAATTATTTTAGCACATTTCTTTATTTATTGAGACAAAATATTACTAAATTTTTGGATTGGGCTTGAACACAGGGTTTTCCTGCCTCAGCCTCCCAAGAGCTAAGATCGCAGGTATGCACAGTTTTCAGAGCTGGGTGTGTAGCTCCATGGTAGAGTTCATGCTGAGTATGTGTGAAGCCCTAGGTTCCATCCTCAGCACCCAAAGCATAGTAAAAGTTATGCGTAAATGCGTGGATACTGGAACTGGAACTTGAATCCTCTGGAAGAGCAGTCAGTGCTTTTAGACACTGAGCCATCTCTCCAGCCTAAGATTTTATTAATTACTATCCCCAATGTTTTTGTTCTCCCTAATGTTGTATTTGCTGACTTCTACTGTTTTGTAGTTTTGGACAGTCTCATGCATCTCAGGCTGACTTTACTCCTGAGCTCCTCTTTGTAGCAAATGCAGGGGTGATAGGCATGTATCACCACACCAGCTCTAGTGGAAGACTCGAGTAATAATATATTTCTTGCCTCTCACTTGTACTTACTTTATTTGACAGAAATCTGGACTCTTAACTTTTCTTTTTCCAAATTCTTACCCTAAATTTAATTCTCTTACTCTTTCTTTAAACATATTACTAAAACTTTATCTCTTTAATGTGGGCCATAGTTTTCTTTATAATAAAAATGTAACTTTATAAATCAACTTTATCTACAAAAGGATGTTTCTGCACTTTTGTTTGAGATAAGCAGCATTAGTCTGATGTAGTTGGATTCTAAACTATGAATTGGATTTCAACTAATTGATTAGTTACAAACCAGCCTGTTTGTAAAAACTTTGCATCCCTATTACAGCCCTGCAACAAAATTAATTCTCCTGTTTACATCCAAAGAAAATATTCACTATATATTGTAGTTTATATATGATAGTGCAATATATATATTGTAATTTATATATGATAGTGCAATTCATTATTTCATTGTGTGGCATACAATTAATTGTCCTATGCATTGTGACTCTTCTCCTAATGAATAGCTTTCCATATGGCTGCCATTTATTTATCCATCCATTCATTCATCTAACATACTTTGAGAATCTACTTTGCATCTAGAGCTGTGCTACACCCAGAATATCAAAGATACATTAAAAAAAAAAAAAAAGTTATCATCTCCACCTGGAAGTTCTCATAGAAGTAGACATGATGAAAGTTGTGATGAGAACAAGGCACTCAGACTATTTTGTTGAGTGTGGGCATATATCAGGATATATGTACTAAGATTATTCTAGGTCTGTAAACCATTTGTTTAACATAGGAAACATCTTAA